TTTTCCCTTTAAAACCTGTATTTTCCACTAAATATTATTTTCTAGTGTTAAAATATATAATTTGAAATTACTTTGTGTGTTGTACAACATTCAGTATTCCATCATAACACTGGATTGGGTTTGATGCCCCTACATTGAATCAAGACACTTAGCTGACCCAGTTCTCAAGTCACTTGGCCCTTTTCCCTGTACTCAGTGGCTCTTCTTCCTCATTTCTGCTCCTTGTGAGCAGGGATTGTTTTGTCTCTCTCGTACCTCTCAACCCCTTGCTCTTCGGGAAGCTGAAAGGTTATTCATTAAAGATAGTGTTGTTTGAAGTCCTTGACATTCTTCTGCAAAAATGGCTTTTTGTTTTCGTAAACAAGGGTGACTTCTATTCCATTTTATTGTGGAGTTTAATACTGCCACTGGGATGTTTAACTTCCCATACCTGCTCCTAAGTCTGGACTTTTTGTTTTAATCTAGTATATGCAGTTGTTCACATCTGCGGTTCTGGATGCCGTTACCTGCAGTCTGAAAGTCCATATGCCTTTACTCCGTACACACAGAGGCTACTTAATTTTGTAACACTTCCCTTTCCTTATTTGGAAAGTAGGAATAATAAAATGGTTTATAAGGCTCATTGGCACATTTAAATTTTGCTTAATAGAATAAACAGAGGAGTAAAGTGTTAACGCAGTTGTGTTTATCACTGGTGTTATTAAACTCTAGTTTCAGAATCTGAAGCCAAACCAAGTGCCCTTTGCAGGCCCACGTCTAAATAGAGTGCCTAAGAAATGGGGTGCGGGGGAGACAGCAGATAAATAAGATTCACTTTCAGTGTCAGTTCTGGACGCGGAAAACTTTTCTGCAGACATTGTGTGTGGGACATACATTGTAGCTTTTTAAAATGTTACCATCTTTACTGTGAAATAATGCAGCTTTTTTTAGTTTCAGTGTTGCCTCTTAAATAGGTAATAGGTAGTGATGACACTTATGAATTAGCTAGCTCACTGTTCTGGGTTACTAAGTTGGAGATTGGTTTTCCAGTCTGTCAGATGTCCTTCATGTGATAAAAATTCTGCATAAGTACTAACGGACCTCTGTGGTATTCCTTTTCGTATTTTCCTTTCATACTTGGCCATTTGATTAGGAAGAACTACTACATCCTGAAGTTAATTTTTGTAATCCATTTCTCTTGGTGTTCTGAGTTTTACATTAAGTGAGTGGTTGGTTTATTTCATTTTATTTTCTCTGTTAAAGTTTATTTATTTTGAGAGAGGAGAGAGAGAGCGGGGGAGGGGCAGAGAGAGGGAGAGAATCCCAAGCAAGCTCAGTGCTGTCACCACAGAGCCAGGTGTGGGGCTCGATCCCATGAACTGTGAGATCATGACCTGAGCTGCAATTCAAGAGATGCTTAACCAACTGTGCCACCCAGGTGCTCCTGAATCTTTTTTTTTTTTAATCCTCCCAGTGTAATCTCTTTTCTGTGATTTTCAATTAGCAGAATTAGAGGGAAATCAGTTTCCAGAATGACTACAGTTGAAATTTCCTTGAAAGAATATCCTTCTTTTAAAATTTTAAGAGTGCATTTTTAAGTATAGATTAATATGCCGTTCTGGATTTCCTGAAAGAGTTCTATTTGCCTGAAGAGCTAAGTACTTTTCACATAAAATTCAAATGCTGTTTAACCTGAACAATGAGTAAGTTTGTTGGCCACTTAGCTGGGAACAAAGTCATCGTGAGTTTTATAGTCGTGAACATACCCATTAGTGTTTTTATGCTTTTCCCGTTGAGGTCAGAGTCCTATATGCCATCTATTTTATTTGAATATTTTAGGATTTAATATCAGAGGTTTTATGTGATTATTTTCACAGAAATGAAGGTAGTATGTTAGAAGAGTAGGATGTTTCGGGACTTGATAGGGTTATTAACAGGTTGGACTTAAAACTTACAGTTTCAGCTTTAAGATGGAATCTTTTGAGTTCATACTCATTGCAGGTTCTTAAAACACAAATTGTAGCTATGATACAGTTTCTATATTGGTGTAACTCACATGTGTGTGTTTTAAAATTTAGTTAATAAAATGCAGTAGGCATAAGAGTATAACAAGAAGGAAAAAAATCACTGTATGGTGAAAATGTTTGGGCTCTTACCTGGAGCCAGAGGAGTTCAGTTTGGCTGAAGGTGAGGTAGTGGTGATCTCCGGAAGGGATATCTCAGTGCCAGATTCAGAGGACTGGATCCTCAACAGATGGCTTGAACTTTTTTGGATTGGTAAAGGGTTGAAGTTGGTCACCCTGGATGGTCCCTTCCAGCTTTGGATTTATTGGTAATCTGGCAGAGGGGGAGGTCCTGTATATATTTTATGTTAATCATAGATTTACTTTTTGGGGTTTCGTACTCCAGAGTTGAACAGAGCCTGGCAGCTTTCCTTCAAAAACAGTTAGCACTTGGGTAGATAACTGTCTTCTTATTTGCCACCACCCTTTCTGTCTTTAGCAAGAGTTATCTGTGAACAGGCCATGGGCTGGTAATGGTAACGGTCACCGGTACTGGTGGACAAACTCGGAAGAAGTCGGGAGTGTTGTTAAGGTGCCTTCGGTAACTGTGGGTCCGAATGACCAGTGTCGCTTCCATCCCTTTGAATGACTTAACATCCCGTGACCTACAGTGTGCATTTCGGAGCGGGAGGTAGGCTAGTGAGACCTACCAGTCTTGGTCACTAACAGTCTTCTTTGCTTTTCAAAGTGAAGGCAGCAGTAGCTTGCTCTTCTCTTGTTTCCATGCTGTTGAGGGTCCAAGTGAAATGGCACTGTGATGTTTGAATTAGTAAAGCTTCTTGGGCGAATCTTGAGATAGAATGGCTTTTGCTTAATTCCTGAATAGGGTGTGGTTGTTCGCGGGTGCGGTACTGCCAGGAGAGGTCTTTTAAAATGTTTCCGGTCCTTGTCCCCACAGTATCAGAATCTCTGAGGGCAGAAGCTGGGCGTTCATATTTTGACAAAACTTCTCAGGTTATTGTGTAATTAATCCTTACTTAAAAGCACTATTGATTGTGTTTATAGCAAAATTCACTTTGAAACTCTATCTCTAGAAATGTGAGACTCACCTTGATAGTGGTTTTTATGAAGTTTCCCCCAATGCATTATTTGGCCACAAGGGTCCTATTTATTTGCGATAAGCATCTATAGTAATAAGAGTAATAGTTAATATGTACTGAGCCTTCGGAATAGCGTAGGCACCGTGGTAAGTGGTTTGCGTGGATTTGTCACTTAGTCCTCCCAACTGCTCTATGAGGTAAGTTCTTTATCCCCGTTTGGTAGACTGAAGCAGAGAAGTGTATGCACAAGGCCACACAACTTGTTGCTCGTAGAGTCAGGACTCAAACTCAGCCAGAGGCAGTTTGACTCGAGAGCCGAGAGCCGTGCATTTCTAACTACTCTGCTAGAGTGACCTACCTCATGGCTTATTGTGGTTTATTGTTATTATGGTTTATTATGGTAGATAACAACAGTGACTCTTTTCATCTCAGACCTCAGACCCCAGGTCCTCTTTCTGAAAGGCAAGCAGTATTAAGTTTGCAATGTGTAGACAATAGATAAGGATACATATGCAGTCTTTTAAACCCGCATACACACAGCCAGGAGTTTTATAGTGTTTACCCTCTAACATACCTTGGGGGAGATCTTTCCACATTGATACATGTAAATTCAGTCTTTCTCTCAGTGTTTTGCACTGTTCCCTGTTTTTTCTTTCCAAAATTGACAGTTAGTACATGAGTAATTTGAACTTTCTGACCAGAATTTATTTAGTATATTGATGATGATGTGGGCATATGTGACAGAAACCATCTTTTTCTGCTGCTGAATTGGGTCAATATGTAACTCCAAAGAGAACCCACTTCTTGTTCTAGAGCATGGAAGCTCTTAAAACAAAATCCAGTAATAGATTTAGTCGTGAGTAATTTGCATTGTCTTTGGCACTGTGTCCTGTGATGTCACATGTGTTCTTTTCCCTCCCCAGTAAACAGAATGAAAGAACTCTAGTTGGAGTTTGACTGGAGGCTTAAGAAAAATTGTGAAGATTTGATTTACACAAATTGTGGTTCTTTCTATGATGGTGATAAGGGCCTGTTTATCAGTTAACTTGATTTTCTTTGGGTATCAGCATTTTTTCTACATAATAAATTTCTAATGGAAAGTTCACATGGATTAAGAACTGTGTTTCGAGTTAAATTGTTATATTTGTGAATTATGTTCTCAATATCGTATTGCTAACAACTCTGTGGGATAGGTGATATACTGATTTCACAGAAGAGGTAAAAAGAAATCGAGAGATTAAGTGTCTTGTCCAAGGTCACAGCCAGCACAGCTAATGTTGAAATCCAGGATATCTGGGACCATTTCTTAGTTCACTGGACTTCAGCCCCTTTCTCCTCATTTCTCCATAGTGTTACAGTTTCCTTTGCATTTATGATGTCATTTGTTATTCACAGCAATACTGTGAAGTAGGCATGACATGTTGTTTATTCTGTGGCTGAGGAGTTGGAGGCTGGAGGCTCTGATTTGTACAAAGGCAGACAGACCCCTTTAATACCTGTTCTGTCACAGGACTTGAGCCAGAGTGTTCTGATGCTGGGTGTAGTGCCCTTTCCTACACACTATAAGAAATGGAGAAGCAAAGACAAATTTCTGCTTGTGCCCTGTTTTCTTTGAATTGAGAATTTCCTGGGTGTTCCATGAGAAATCTATGTTAATTTTATGTGCTGGGCTCTGGACCACATGCGTTGAATTTGGTATATTCTTGACATCTTATATGACATTAATCAGATTTCAGATAAGACAATATAGCATCAGTTTGGCCGTATAAATTGCTGACCTGAAATTTCCCCTTCATCTTTGTTGCCCCTTATCTGGTTTCTGTGGTGTACCACATATAGCTGATAATTTTTTCTCATTTTTCTTTTCAGTGAATGGTAGTGTCTAGAAAGGGTATGTCCCTTCAAGAGAGAGGTGCCAATGTCCAACCGGCCTAATAACAATCCAGGGGGGTCACTGCGACGTTCACAGAGGAACACTGCCGGGGCCCAACCACAAGACGACTCAATAGGAGGAAGGTATGTATTGGATGGTAATTTGAAAAGTAAGTGCTGAAAAAAAAATACTTTTTAAAAACCTCATTTTGAGGACAGAAAATTAAATGGTTCACTGCAAATGGGTAATTTTTTCCTAATTTTTTGAGCCAAGTAACACAAACAAAACTGGAATTCAAAGCAGTTCTTTCATCATTTTCCAAATGCGCTAGGCTCAAAAAACAGTTGTCAGTCACTGACATTATCAGAAATCTGATTCAAGGGTCGTTAGCATATGGTATGTGCTTGCCCTTTCTCCTCACTCTCTTAAACATGCTACAGCGTGTCTTTCGATCGTTTGTGGTGCCTTTTCTTTATGCAGGTCTTTATTTACTTTATTGAAAGGAAGCTTCGTTTGTTTTAAGACCTTGAGTTCTCATAACTAGCTTTTGAGTCTTTTCCCCATCTTATTTTTTGCCAGCGTGTGGGTACCGACAGGCTGCTGAGGCAGTCTGACTTTGTGGGCCTCTCCATTCTCGTTTTCTCAGTGGTATGGTGTTTCGCAGGTTTTTCAGTTAGAGTACTTGCCTAGGGGGGTAGTGTGAAGAATCAGATGCATTCTGTGGAATGGAAAATTCCTTGTCTGACTTAGCCAGGGACTGTCATTGTATGTATAAAATACTCAGAACCTCACTTGCAAAGCCTTCCTCTCCAATCCATGTTTAGCTTGCAATAAATCATGGCAAGGTTCTGATACGATTATCTGACACAACATTTGGAGACACTACCGTGTGTATATTGTCTAGCAAATTATAAAAAACTTTTTTTTTTTTAATTTTTTTTTTAACGTTTATTTATTTTTGAGACAGAGACAGCGCGTGAACGGGGGAGGGTCAGAGAGAGGGACACACAGAATCTGAAACAGGTTCCAGGCTCCGAGCTGTCAGCACAGAGCCCGACACGGGGCTCGAACTCACGGACCGCGAGATCATGACCTGAGCTGAAGTCGGCCGCTTAACCGACTGAGCCACCCAGGCGCCCCTAAAAAACTTTTTTTTAATGTTTTATTTATTTATTTATTTTGAACAAGAGAGAGTGTGAGCAGCGGAGGGGTAGAGACAGAGGGAGACACAGAATCCGAAGTAGGTCCAGGTTCTGAGCTGTCAGCACAGAGCCTGACATGGGGCTCGAACCCACGCACCGTGAGATCATGACCTGAGCCGAGGTCAGACGCTTAACTGACTGAGCCACCCAGTGCCCCTATAAGGAAAGTTTTTAAATGTCACATGTAAGGAATATATTGAAACCGATCCTGCTGACATCACGCTCTTTTAGTAGGTGAGCATATGGACTTTGGACGAGGACAGCATTGTGTGAAATTACTGCCTCTGCCATTAAATAGCTGCGTGTCCTTTGTTGTATCTTTTAGGACACCTTGGAGTTTTTAGTCCACGCAGTGGGGAGATCTGTTTCATAGGGCTGTTGGTTAACATCAGCAATCTGTAGTATGTTACATTGCTAGCACAACGCTTAGTGTGCAGAGTTCTGTTCTGAAATTGTTTTTTGCTTTATTTTACAATCAGATTATTCGTTGGAGTAGCGACACTTTATTTTCTGTTGATTAAAAAATATCCTTCCCCCATTGTAAAGCATGGCATGTTAATTTTAGTGAATTTAGAGAATAAGAAGAGTATAAAGGAAAAAACTATAATTCCACAATCCACTTCTGACTTACGCTGTTAACACTGGCATGTTTTTCCTTCGTCTTCTTTATTGCTAGATATATGTGCTTATATGTGCTTGTGTTTACACGTAAATAACCTGTACCAATTTGGGGGTGCCTGGCTAGCTCAGTCGGGAGAGCACATGACTCTTGATCTTGGGGTCGTGAGTTCGAGCCCCATGTAGAGATTTTTTTAAAAAGCAGAAAAAAAATCAGTAACTTTTACCTTTTGAACAACTGCAGTTTTACATAGTAATACTCAGGTTCTATTTGGACTCTTGCACGTGAGTGACAGTTTGGTGTCTCACATAGTACACTGGTTCTAAAATCCACAGCGATGTTTTCAGCGCCTTTATCTTTTTCTACCCATTGGTGTTAACTATTTTATTGTATTAATGTATTTTAAAAATATGAGCAAGAAATAGAAATGGAAATGGTTAATATTAGTTATTAAGATGTATTGGTTTAAAGAACTAAGATAAAGTTGTAATCAAGATAGAACTCTTACTTATTTATAGAATGGCACATTTTTGCTATAGTTTATTTGCTTTAGGTCTGTCAGTGAGTAGTTCAGTTGGTGCAGCCAGTGGAAAACAGTATGTAAGTTCTTCAGAAAATTAAAAATAGAATTACCATGCAGTCTAGTAATTCTCTTGCTGGGTATTTACCCCAAGAAAACAAAAACACTAATTCCAAACATGCATCCCTGTGTTCATTGTAATAGCCAAAATACGGAAGCAACCTAAGCACCCATCATTAGAATGATGGATTCAGAAGATGTGGTGTATATATGTACAATGGAATATAACTCAGCTATAAAAGAATGAGATCTTGACATTTGCAGCAACATGGATGGACCTAGAGGGAATCATGCTAAGTGAATTAAGTCAGTCAGAGAAAGACACTACCATGTGCTTTCACTTATATGTATAATCTAAAAAAAACAACCAACAAACAAAAAACAGAAACAGACTCATACAGAGAACAAATTGGTAGTTGCCAGAGAGGAGAGGAGTGGGTGGCAGGATGGGTGAAATAGGTGAAGGGGATTAAAGGTACAAACTTTCAGTATTAAAATAAGTCACAGATGTGAAAAGGACAGCATAGAGAAAATATAGTCAGTAATATTGTAATATATGGTGACAGATGGTGACCACACCTAACTATGGTGAGCACCGAGTCATGTGTAGACCTGTCAAATGACTGTTGCACACCTGAAATTAATATGATTTGTCAGCCTTACTTTAGTAATGTTGAAAAAAAAATTGTAACTCAGTTGTGAAGGGTAAGTGTAGAATTTTAAAATGTGCTTGGAAAAAAAAATGTGTTTGGAATGGCAGAAAACATGCTGAAGAAAATAAAGCAGAGTATACTTAGGGTTTTTATACTTTAATCCCTTCTCTCTTTCCATAATGTAGCCCATTTCGGTTTTTACAATTTCAACTTTCACATATCTTCAAAAAACATTTCCCCAGAAAATCAGCACACAGAGGAGGGCCAGTTCCCCCCCCATCCCCCCCCCGTTTTAGAAACCCAGAATCATTTGTGTCATTTTCTGTGTCCTTAAAATTGTTTTAAAAACATGACTTTTAAAGTCTTTATGTTCCATTGTGTGGCTATACCATAATTTAGTAATAACTCTGAATAGATATATTTTTCCTCTTTTTATGTGGATAAGTGTAATTAATGACTATGACGTATAAATTTAGACTGTTAGCCAAAAAAGTCTGAACCAGTTTGACTAAGAATGCAAATTTGTTCATTTGAATTTTATTTTCCCCTCTCAGCTTGATTCTTTGCTCATGATAGAATCTTGAACCTGGAAAGGACCTTTTCATCGAAGCCCAGAATGACATTGGAAGCCCTCGTAGACTGTGCTATACTAGAAGTGAACTAACCTCTAAGAAACCTCTCTTTCGATTTGGGGGAGACAGAAGATTGGGATAAATTGGGAGGGAGCAGTTACAACTGTATTTTCGTTCTCTTTAGCTGACTCCTGTTGATCAGCTTTCCTGAGTAAAATGCTGCTATTAGGCTTTTGACTCAAAAATAGACGTGGTCTTGAAAATGTATTCATAGCGGTGCAGCGTTTCAGCTGATGGGCACAAGAGCAGCCGCTACAATAGTGCCCCGGTGGAGTGCTCCCAAATGTTTTTATACGCCTTCTTTTAGTAGAGACTCAGAGGAGCTCTGCTAATAAGTAGGTAACCCCTATTCTCTGAATGTGGTAGTTTGCTCAGCATTCTACAACTAGTATGTAGAGTGAGGACCTGATTTCCAACCACTTGACTCTAAGTCAGTGATTATTTTCGTCACGCCAAACTGTTTTTACTGCACAAACCGCTCAGTTCCTATGATGAAGGACTTGGAAGAGGGTATGAAGTATGTATAATGGAAAAACCTCCACTCATTCAGTTGAGGACTTCAGTAGCAGTATTTCCCTCCTAGAATTTTTGAATGCATTCATTTTTTTATTCACTGTTTTCTTTCAGACTTGCATTAGGCTCTTCTTTGCATAGTGTCCTTCCTGTGACCGGTCCTGCCCATCCCCCAAATCAAGGTCATTTACGGTTTCCTTTCTTTTTAGGAGACTAGTTTTCGTTCATTCTTAAGCTAAAAGGAATTTGGATCTTTGGGATGTATTTCATATCTCCTGGTTATTTTCTCTGCTCTGTTTCCCCTGTCCTCCTCTGTCCATATATTAACTAGACTTCCTCCTCTATTATTTTCCGTTTCTTGTGTAGTTTTTTGGTTTATAGGTGATCTGTTCTTTTCTGTACTCTATCGGATTTTTTAATGGAGTGAGGAAATGGTTGAATCCAGTCCTCTCCACCTGCCCAGCCCCATTAAAAAAAATTTGTCTTCAAAGTTTTAGTTACTCATTACAGAGTAAAACCTCGATTATGAGATCTATAGGTTATAACTTTTTCTTAGCATTGTCAGAGCAGGGATTTTTTTTTTAGCCAGTGTTAATTATACAGAAAGGAAATAGATTTGTGTTTCGCTTAAAAATCTATTTCAGTGGGATGGATACAGAAAAGCACAAAAATAAGTATCCGGAGATAGGTCTGTGTTAACATTTTGGTTTTTATTTGCCTTTAAAATACAGCTTAGCATGTAGCTGATTACACTGTAAATATGGTTTTGGACCCTGCTTTGTTCAAAACTCAGCATCTTAACAAACATTTTCTCACATCATTACAATTTTTTTGGTAATTGTTACAAATGGCCACATGATTTACTCAACCACTATACAGTGTTTTCCAGATTTACTTTTTAGTTTTTGGATAGTTAAATGGTTGTAATGGGCAAAATTGCTGCG